GTGTGTTTAAAAATATTTTAAAATGCGCGCCCTTGAGTAGCACACGTGCACTAGTTTACCCGTCACGCTCAAAATATACGTGGCAGGGAGAAAATGAGCTCAGTTTAGTGCTTCAGTATATATTTTACTTTAAATTTGTGGTTAATAATAAATTTTTTTTTTTTTTAAAATCTGGTTCTCTGCTTTTGCTTTCTGTTCGTAGCATATCATTAAATTCTCTGTCATCTCTGACGACTATTACAAATGATCGTATCTACAAACAGTAGGATATAATACAATTACTTTCAAAAAAGCTTAACAAAATATATATTWAAAAAATCATATTCAATAAAGGAACTGTCGTTATTACAAATACATACAAAGTGTTATTCGACGTTAGTATTCTTGATTCTAAARATCTAAAAAAATAGACTTTGAATTTCACTTCTGTACAATTTCAGTTTTATAGACTTTTCTGGTTGGATACCAGAAGTTCAAGGGGAAGAAAGACTATGGAAAAAGACTGAAAAAGAAAGTAAAGAAAGGAAAGAAAAACATAGAGAAGAGAGAAATACCATAAGCAGCTGCAAGACAAATATTCGGTTTCTATTCTATTCTATTCTGTTCTGTTCTGTTCTGTTCTGTTCTGTTCTGTTCTGTTCTGTTCTGTTCTGTTCTGTTCTGTTCTGTTCTGTTCTGTTCTGTTCTATACGCCATCTATCGCATATTTTTATAAGTAAAGGCAAGTACTGTCTGTCTGACGAAGACAACGAGACGTAAAATATCAAGAAGTTCATAAAGTACAGGTCTTATAATACATTCATTAACTTCCTTCCTCTGAACTGCCTTCGGTCCAATAATAATTTTGATTTTTTTTTTCTCTTTGAAAATGTATAAAATTGTTCATGATATAGAAAACCGTTTCATTGGATTTTGATGTAAAAGACACCTGTTGCATTTGGGTTCAAAATGACGCCAAAAGTACGGATCGATTGAGCTAGCGTCCTTAATTGGTCGTACAATCTAGATCTTTATCGCTAATTACGTGGCATTTACGTCCGCTAATGTCGTCTTATTCCTATCAATAGCCTCGACCCCATTTTGCGTGACAGAAGGATTATTATTGTCGGCTATGATTGTTGTGGCGCTGCTTCCATCGGATGCCAAGAAATAATCCGAGCTGTTGGAATTATCGAAAACAAATCGTAAAAATTCTTGTGGCTGTGGATTGCGTTTGGAGTCGAGCTCCAGCTCGGAAGTACTCGGGAAATGTTCGCTTTTATCCAGGCTTGTTCCTGGTTTAGCACCAGAAATAGATGAAGACCAACTGTCATTGCTGTTCTGACGCGAATGACCTGGACTTGGTGATATGGGAGGCGGAGGGATGAAAGGTAGACTTGGTTCACCAAGATTCTTCCTTAACGAACCTAAACATGAAATACATTAATAACATGCAGTAAAGATGGCCATGCATAAATACTAGTTATACGATATTTTCTAGTGGTATCCATGGCATCTCTCACCTGTCACTTGTATTTTCTTTGTGTTCACACGAGCCTTCAAGTGAGTGTGTATACAAATATACCACACAAGTGACAAGTGGGATATTCCATGGTGTGTCACGAGAAAGCATTGTATAACTATTATATACAAGTGACAAGTGGGATATT